TATCAAACGAACCTGTATAGTCTGTTGCCCAGCTCGTATGTATTAGATATATTTTAAGCTTGTTATTGTTGTTCAGCTGTATGTGTTTTGTATTCCTCTGTACATTTGTATGTAAGTATATTGAAAACCAGAGATAAATTCCTTTTATGTGTCAACATACTTGGTGTTGGTACTGATAGTTGCTAAGCATGACTTTGTAATGCAAAAAAGGAAAAGAAATATGTCAGTTTTGAATTGCAACAAGGCTACTTCTCATGGGTTGACTGCTGCTGCATGGCCTTCAAATTCACTCAGGAAGCTCATGCCAAAGATTTATTAACGCTGAGCTTGATATGGACAGAGGTTTCCACCAAATGGCGCGTACATAAGCACAGTTTTATTGAATGCAGATCTGGCTTCTGTCAACCTCACTCATGACCTTTTGGATTCGGAGCCACCGGTCCATGCTGCTGCCCTGATCAATATCTACTGTAGCAAGGAGGCTAACAATTAAAAGCTGGTTCTCATACAGACAAGCAAGGTGCTCTACCTAGATTAAGTCATATATTAAAAGCATATTATTCATACATTTTTCAGAATGTATTAATATTAACAATAGAAAACAATTTAGGAAATTTCTGCTATAATTTATAGATGTCAGATGTCACAAAATTCGTTAATATTTCTCATATCATAGGCAGTTATGTTTCACACCCACCAAACTCAATTAATCAGCACAGTAATTGCTAATCACAGTCACTTGCTTCTGGTCATGGCGACATGGTTGTATGCACTGTGTGCACTAATCCACTGTTGTGAGGATGTGGAGATGGACAGATGTGGCATCTCCAGCTTTTTTTTAAGGAGTTTTTCAGCTGAAGTGATTCAGACTTCAACTTCTGGAAGTCGTGGTGTCTCTTCCTTTTTCTCCAGCTTTCCAGTTTTACACAAAAGTGCATACTTGTGAAGATTACCGGGGTCAGCTAATCAGTCCTAATTCGGCCTGCAAGTTGGACACTATCTTGAACATAGTCCCATTCAGAGCTCATGTTGTCTGAGCTAGCTTCATCATCATCATCTCCTGCTCCAGGTCTGCTTTTAAATGATCTGATTCATAAATGGCACAAAAACAAATTCCTCATCAGTGGTAGTTTGCAGATTTAGAGTCATCAAAACTCTTGAGTATCAGATGAAATCACACAGGTGCTGCAGCATCATGTTGCTGTGACAGTAAGCTCATATAAACCAACTTCTTCATCACTGTGTCTGTATTTATTCATAGTAACACAGACAAACAACACTGCACCATGAGGTCGAACTTGTATCCAGCATCCCATTGGAAAAAAAGGAAACACTCAAACAAGTCCGTCAGGTTTAATTTAAGGGATATCAAGGAGCTGAGTGCTTAGAATTATTAAATTAAATTAAATGCTGAGAATTATTTAGACAGGATGTAATATAGTCCCAGGTTGCTTAAGCCCCTAGGTGTGCTGTGCATCTAAGGGTTAAACGCACCTCTGCTAACAATAGTACATATTCAGTAAATCTTTCAGTGACCATCTCACATTTGCTTATAGTTTCTGCCCTGCAGGTGCTTTAATGGTTTTCCCCTTCTGGCCTTAACATCATTATATTTAATGGCAGTAATGTTCCAGCAGACATAATCCTCCGACTACGAGTCATATTTCAGAAAATCAGCCGTAATTATAAAAATGACTATTTTCAAATCACAGTTGCAGTTTAGTCCTGGGTAAAAATGAGTTGAAATAACTGACCACTTACAAAATCAACAACTGTTGCTGTTTCTGTTTTTCCCAGAACATCAGCATAATTGACACTATTCAAAATCAATACAGAACTAATTATGTTCTTTCCCTTTTCAGTGCACAGTGATTAAGAAAAGAATCATGAGTGAACCCTTCAGACATGTAATTATCGTTTTCTTCACATGACACTGTCGATAGTTCAGCGAGGCCCTTTAACATTTCAGACCTAAAAACAGATACACTCTCAGCAAAATTTAGTGATCTGCACTTTTTTATTTTCTTTTAAAACCTCGACCCTCTAAAAGGAAATGAATAGCTGAGTCACCCTTTATACAATACTAAAAAGATAATTCCTCTTTAAACCACTTCAGAGTAATCTGTGAAGATTATGGCCCTTTCTCTGTCCAATTTCATAAAAAAAAAAAACAAAAACAAAAAAAACAAGTAGTAGATTAAGCTCAGTGTTTACGGTCTGAGTGTGAGAGTTGGCAGGGCTGACTTTCAGAGCTCAGAACCACTGATGACGTGCCGAACATGCTATAAAAATGAACATCAATGTGAACCTTCATTACGGCTAAGCTACGTGACATGACAATGTAATATTCAGAAGGTCAGCTATACGCTGGAGTCCGTTTTTTGGTTGTCTGATTCAATCTACTGTTTCTGTATTCTTTAATATTAAAGGCCAGTACATCATTTAAACTCAAATTAAAGCATATGCTCCATCCAGCATATTTGGGCTGTTGTAACACTGAGTACACACAACACAACATACAACCAGATCGGTGCTGGGATTATGACTCCAGTTATTCTTCACTGCGGCTCTTTACTAGTCCAGGACACAGACGGAGCTTTAATCAACCACGAAACGGGTTTATTTACTCTCATTTACCCAGTGTAAGCACAGTATGTACACGCTATACTGTTCTTTAAATCTCAGGCCTCTCCTCCCTGCAAACAAACTGGTTAATGTGGGAGAGAGTTAATGGGTTCAGGGATCATTCATTTTCTCATCAGGCAAAACGCTCTGCTCCATCAGATATAGATTTACTTCATCAAAGCAGCAACTCATTTTATTGCTCTGGTTGAGGATATGGTCCAAAATACCAAAAATTATTTTTTTTTGAGAGAGCAGATCACATTTTCATTTCATAAAGCAATTAAACATTGAGGTTAAAACTGGACTAATCGTGAGAAAACAATTTCACCACATTTTCTGTTTAGTAGCTGTTCTAGGGCTTTTGATCATATCACATGATCTTCCTCAGGGAATGGAGTTTGATCAGTCATCAAGGAAGTGTAGACTGGACGATTTAGATTCTTTGGTTACATTTAACCATTGTTTCAACAGCATTTTAATTACTATATTTTAATGTGCAACTAGAACCTGCTTGACAGTGAAATATAGTCAATTAAATGCTATTGAAATGAAATGAAATTTAGTCAAATTTTTACCTAGATAACTAGACGTGTTTTGACCTTAACTGACCAATCGGTATTAACTGGGTTGTGCAGTATACATTTTCTTATTATTATTGTTTGCATGTTCAAATCATGACAGATACTAAAATATCAATTCAAGCTTATTTGATTTAAATAAATAAAAGCAATGTAATGAAAATGCACCCATCTTTACTGAATTTCAAAGCGAGGCTGTAAGAGACAAGAGCAACCTATCACTATTAGTTGAGATGCTACACATTCATGTTAAAGTTAATTCAAAATTTTGGGGAATATGCTGTGTCACTTTTTTACTGAGAGTTGAATGAGAAAATATGTGCCGCTCTTTCATGTGATGCTGGAGCCAGAAGCCGGTTAGCTTAGCATGAAGACTGGAAATGGGGAAACAGTCAGTCTGGCTATGTCTACAGTCTAAAAAACTCATTAATTAACATGCTTGTTTGTGTACAAAAAACAATTTCTTGTTTTACGGGGACTTATGTTACCATAAATTCAGGTATAGCTGTGACAAGTTTGACAAATCTACTTGAAAGCACTATGTTAACTGTCTCCTAAACAGCAATAGATTACACCAGAGCTAGGCTTACCACTGTTTGATCTTTCAGTAATACAGTGCTCACAGACTACCCAGACGGACAAACATGACCGTGCTGTTTGTGGTTGATGTCACTTCACAGGATTTCTGGGAACTCGCCTCAATATTTCAAACTGTTGCCTCCTGCTGCTGTTTTTGAAGTAGCAGTGGCTGACACAACATGTTGCCCTCTGGTCTCAAAAATTCTTATCTACAGATTTGTGCGCATGATTGTCATCTTTGACCTCGGATGTGATGGAGTGCAGACGGCCTCCAACGAATGCAAGTGGGTGGTTTCTTTTTTTTACTATGACGCAAGAGATTGAAAGCACACATTGGGAGTCAGAACAGCCACTTTTAGTTTATATTGACTTTTGCCTCAGATTTTTTGTTTAAACTGATGATGATAGCACACATTATTTATCAGAGAATTTAACTTTGTATTCATATCTGTAAAATAAACACAAAAGACCCCACGTTGCCACTATACACCTACTCGTGTTTCCACTCAGTTGTGCAGGGATTTTATTTATTTTTTTATCCATGTTTAAAACTCTTCTGATAGAGATGTGCTCTCCAATAACTGCTTTGCTTGACTGAAAGGAACTGACAAACACTAAAAACCTGAGCTGAATGATGAATGATGTTTTCTAGTAAAGTCTAACTGCACACTCAGTGAAACGGTCCCACGGCATGAGTCAAGGCTGGGAGTGTTGAGAGCTGAATTTCAAACACCTCAGTAGCACCTCTACTTTTAATGCAGAGCCTCTGTTTCCACTTAAACCCACCACTTCTCTAGAATCTATACAATCTAACTGGACATGCCAGGATTCATTAAAGTCGTGTGAGGCAGTGTGATGATTGCTAAATTAACACATTAGTGAGTTGAAATTGCTAGTAGAGTTAAGACAAAACTTGAATGGCTGATGCAAACGCTCCTCAGAGATGTAAAATCCATTACATGGTCGTAAGTAACAAGAAATTAAAGTTCCAGTGAACCTCAGTCTCCTTATGGAAATGTTGTTGATGGTTTGGTCATTAGGACGGTAACTAGCTCATTTGATCCATCAGCTAAAACCCCGATGTGCAGCCCACCACTATCCAGGTTAAATTGAATGTGACGTGTCAAGTCGCTACGGTTACCGACACTGAACTCTCAATTACACTACTCGTGTTTGTCCAACCAGGGGCGGTTGAAAAGAAGGGAGAGATGCACAGGCTTATACTGCAAACTAATTTTAATGGATCTGTTGGTTACATAAATGACACTGATCGTGAAGAGGATACTTGAGCAGTGATGTGACGTGGGAAGAAAAGCAGGAGGAGGGAGTGCCTGAGTAAAACATTTTCTTTGCACAGATACAAACCATGTGAAACCTGACCTGGGAGAAATTTAGCTTTTGTCATTGGCCCAAATGCTTTCACTTGAGTTCAAACACACATAAAGTTTATCATCAAACATTGTTCTGAGAAATGCTCCTGTAACAGCTTTCTGTTGGTACAATAAAAACCCTTCAGCTGTGTCATTGCTGGTCTGCTCCCAATACGGCATGTCCGTACGAAACACTCCCTCATTTATTGGCAAATATCCTGATTAGTCTTAAACTTGAGGAATAAGGTTGCCCTCCTCTTCTTCACAAGGCATACAAACACTTGAAGCATAATATCAAGTTCTAGTCAAACAAAGCTGGCATCCAGTTTATGCTTTTGCTTCTGCAACAAAATTAACACATTTCTACTCACTTTTATGTAAATATTATTTTGTTCTTTATGGTGTGATAATATTCATCTAAATCTCCTTGAGAGCCTCTAAGATCATCTAGCAGATGCTGACAGCCAATCAGAAAATATTTCTGACTTTGGACAGTAGGTGGCGGCATTAGTGTTGCCCGCATTTAGCTAACTCGACTAATGAGAGCACATCTACATGTTTTACAAAGCAAACTATGCCAGTTAGAATTAGAAAATATAGCAAATTATTAATACAGATTACAGTTGCAGATGCATTAAGTACAGAGATATAAAACTTTCCATTTAGAGGCTGGTCTGTGCATCAAAACTAGAAGGCAGCCTGAAGAACACATTATTTATAGCAAGATTAAACAAACTATTGTGTGTGGTCTTCTTCTGCAAAAACTTATACTGTGTCAGTCTTGACTGAATAGGACTTTTACCACATTGATGCCCTCCAAGTTATAACGAAACACATACAAACATGAAAACATGCAAAACCAGCTGAAGATAAATAATATTACAACTGATGTTCTAGTAAAACAGGCATTAAAAAGATTCTCAGTAATGTTAATTGTTCAGAGATCATATGATTTGTATTTTCTTTTTTTTAAGAACAGTTTGTTCCCTGGTGTCGTTTGTGCGCTGAACTGAGGTACCATGTGTTGATCTGCAATGATTTAAAACCTCAGGTACCTCCGGTCTTCATCCTGACTTTGAATGAATCACCCTCAGCCTCGAGGACGCCCTGAAGACATTTCATTTTTTCTTTGGATGCTATTAAAAGAAAACAGGAACAGAAATTGGTCAGTGAAATCAATACCTGGAACAATCCACATCCAGGAAGCATCAGATAAGACATGGCTAGAGTTAATAACATGCAACAATTTTCCTGAGATGATGCATTTTCTTGGAGCAAAGCCAAAGAAGCACAATCCAAACACTCATTACTCCTCTCTGTGCTTGATGAGCTGTGGTGGGATGCCAAAATATCTGCCAAAAAGGCGATTGAAAGGCAGACGAACAAGTGGCGCACCACAGAGAAAACCAGTCAATAAAAAAAAAAAACACCAAACACCAAACATTTTGCAGGGTACATCTTATAAAGACAAGTTCCAAATGATTAACCAGCAGCCTCGTTTGTGACTCAAAACTAACCCCAGGATGAGGACACATGACCGGAAATTTAACTGCCTGCCCCAATCTGACCTGACATCCCTTCCAATTAAATGCTTCACCCATCAGGGGTGCCTTTTCCCAGACAGTCATTAGAGATATTTGTCTCCATTTCATTTCCATTTGCTACAGATGGGCAGCAGAGGGATTCAGAGATGACATCTGAATCCTGAGAAGAGGAGGTGCAGGCCAATATGGAGGATGTGGTTGCATGAGGTGGCACAGAGGGTTTTAGGAAATTCAGATTCTCTGCTGATAGCAATGCAGTAAACAGGTGGGAATTAGAGGCGATTCATGCAAATCCACCACATGTTTTAATGTGATTAAATCTCAAACAAATCTGGTCTTCATGTGCTAAAATTGATTCTAAATGAGCTGTTGCATCCTAGCAGTGTCATTAGTTTTAAGTATTTTTTTCTCTCTTAGCACATAATAGAATAGAAAGACACTCCCACCCATAGATCTTCTACGCTGGACAGAAGAGCAAAGATTTCATCAAAATCCTCTGTGCTTGATGAAACCTCAGCCACCATGCTGGAGTAGAGAGAAGCACAAAGGTGTAATTAAACCTCAGATGCCGACACAAGCTGTTCGAGCGGAGAGAGATGTGATAAAAATGCAGATGTCTGGACGAGCCACGCCAGATCTGAGGTGTAACGGTGCACAGCACTACACTGAGGTGAGAAAAACTAAAACTGAGCAAGGAATTTGAAAGTGGATTCTGGGAACTTGGCAGTACTTCTGATGAGCCAGAAATACTCTGAATTTTTTCCACAGCAAAAATTCTGAGGAAAAAATGCAGCCTATAAATCACCTTCAAGTATTTTTAACTGAAGATATGAGTGTGTTTGGGTGAATCTATAACTTCATATATAACTTTAATATATTTTTTATAGCCTAAAACAAAGGAGAGTGGATTTGGGAGATGACATATAAACCATCTAGACTGTCAGAGATTTGCTGAGACAGTGCAAATGCGGGAATAATCCTGGTGGACTGCTCTGAGAGGGGCGTGCCCCAGACTGCAGCACAGATATGAAAACCTCATATTGCAAAGATGGATCTGGTCGTGCAGCAGAAAGAAAGTGGGTTTATGAGATGTGTGGATACACCACAGCCCAAAGTGCACAGCATGAACCCACTGCATACTTAACTCAATCCTGGTCTGCAACCCTTCCTGGCCTGGCTCTCTCTAAATGTTCCCAAGATAATTGCCACGTCGTCTGCGGGCCTGATTTGTCTTCATTTTGACTGACACGCCTTATTTGGGGCTTTACAGGTCAAACACATAGTTTGAGGTCTGTGGGGAAATGTTCCTCATGAAAGTAAGTAAGCTGCAACTTCCTTGTTCTCAACTCCAAATGGGAACAGTTTCTTGGATGCTAAATCAAAATATGTTCCCTGGAAACTTGATTGCACCTTTAATGTTTTCAAAATGACTCATGACTCATATGACATGTTCCACAGCGCTGAGAGTAACTGTACACAGAACATTAAATACCATTACATTTTTGTGAGATGACCACACCTTTTAAATGTGGTGTCAAGACAAAAAAAAAAAAACTTCCATTAAAATTACAGCACCTTTAGAAAAATAAAATCCTGCATGTGTCCCCATAAAATCACAACCAACTAACTAACACTGCCCTGTGTGAAATGAAGAGAATGTATGCAGTGATAATTATCCATTATCCAAAAGTAAATGGAAGCTGGTAGCAGAAGTTACGCTGACACAACCAAAAGTTCGTGAAAGACCAAGTGTCCCAAAACCAAAATGCAAATTTAAAATTTCTCCAATGTAGCAGCATGATTTGCAAAATTGGTTGGCTTTGATATTAAGTAAAGGTGATCATACTCAATAAACTAAGCGAAAACAGCAAATAAAAGTACTGTATTTCTCAGCAACAAGGAGAGATGAAAAGAGGCTTAGCATCTGTTCGCATCTATTAATCACTGACTACCTAACATCTGTTTTGTACTTTGTTCTCAGAAAAATCATGACCAAGTCATACTTTTTCAATCCAAAACTGTCGGTCTTACTTCTGTTTCCAACCTGTATCATAGTCACACAAGTAACGCACTTAAACCCTCACAGTCTCACAAACTGATGCTTTAAAAAAAAAGCTGTAAACAAGAAGTTACAGAGTGACCTGTCTCACCTCAAAGCAGGTATTTTTTCCTCACCAGGTTATGGGAAAAAGACATTAACATACTATTAAAATACAGGGCTCAGACCAGATCTCATGTTAACTGTTACAGAAAACAGGACCTAAGACACATCTGAGTCATCGTGGTAGTTCTATAGGTTATTTTGTATATGACATGACAATTTGTGAACAAATTATTAGTGTGGAGGACATATGCCTAACTCTCTCATGCCAGTTGATGCCTTCTTTGAGGACAGGAGAGGACAAACATTGTTTGTTGTAACTTACTGAGAGAGCTGAACATGATTCCAGACTCCCACAAACTTTGATTGATAACTATATTGGTTTGAAGAACCTTTCAGTTCTCCTTTGTCAGATATTTGATACTTACAGCAGCAGCAAGTGCTTGCTCCAGGTCTTCAATGATGTCGGCCTCATCCTCCAGTCCCACAGAGAGCCGGATCAGTGTGTCACTGATCCCCAGCACATCCCTCTCTTTTTCTGGCACTGATGCATGGGTCATAATCGCCCTAAATTATGATAGAGGACAGAGACACCTATATATGAGACCAATACAGAAAAACATCCTGCTGCTATAATAGAGATTAGAGCAGAGACTTCGTAATGGAAATAAAGTGCCTCAATTAAAGTCAATTTGTGAGAGTCTGATAGGGATTTCTTCTTGATCTCTGCTGCCCCCTTGTGGTGCCATTTGTTACAATGCAGCTTAGAGTACAGAACATAAACATTTCTAATGTTCGGTACTATCAAACACCAAAAAACAAGACTGTAGTAAAAGGATTTATTTTGGCATACTTACGGATGTTCTGCTAAACTTTCATAACCACCCAGACTCTCAGCTATGGCAAACATCTGAAATAAGAAAACAGAGGACATGAAAACAAGAATAGAGCAGGATATAAATAATATGTACAAGATGTGAAACATAGTAGACACCACTAATAGATTTACAATAAAATACAATCAAACCACATATCAATGCTGAGACATGATTACATTAAACAAAGCTGTTCCACTGTGATGATGATTTTGGGAATCACTTAAAACATTGTTTGAGTAAACCAGTTTTATCTCAGTCACTATATCGTCAGAACCTTTTCATGAGTTACACATTTTAATTATTATTTGTCTAAAGCCTTCGCCAGGAATTGTGTGCAGGAGGGCCTGAGGTACTTTGTTTAAGCAGCCCTTAAAGTTGTGGTGTTTCCCTCTGTCTTTCTGGGAATTTGATCCACACTTGTTAAATACAAAACCAAACAATCCAGATGACATAAAAATGTAACGTGTGTCAAATTACTTTGAGGCTACTGAGGAAGGTGGTGGCGTGCTCAAGTTTCCCCTTAATGTAGAATGTGATCATCCCCGGGCACCCAGTGCATTGTCTCTTCATCACTTCATACTGTGGGTGAGAGGGCAGCCCTGTCAACAGTGGGAAAATGAGAATAACCAGGTGAGTGAAGTGGATAATTCCTGTAATTACAACCAGTGAAACTACTTGAAAAAGTTTTGCATGCTACCAATTACTTCACACTGGAAGTACAGCAAAGCTACCCCTAGTGACAAATCTAGTTGAGTTAGCTAAAGCTACCTAGAAAAAGCAGTTCAAAGTAAGTACAAAATTTTAACAAAATATAATACAAAAAAGTCACGTGCCAGTTTATTGCAAAAAGTGCCTTCTTGTTCACAGGTCATACATAAACTAAAAAAATGAAATACCTCAATTATACCCAATACTCATGGGACTGGAATGTCAGCTTTGGTTTCGTGTACAAGAACTGCTTAAGTGTCGCCATGGTGATTCTTGATTCAGGAGGTTTATCCCTGAGGACGTGTCTATGTGAGCACTGAGCAACACTTGCCCTTGGCTTCTGCACTTGCACTACACAAAAGTAAAGTATGGGCATGCATCACAGGAAGAAAGAAAAAGGGGTTGGGGTTTATCAAAGGGGGTTCAGTTATACCCTTTTTCCACTAAAATTAGCAGGTATAAGTGTGTTTTTTTTTTTGGTTTTTTTTTGGTTTTTTTTTTAAAAAGGTGGGTAAACCTGCTAATAAAAGCCGATTGAAAATAAAAATTCAAAAATCATTCCTTTCCTTTTATGACCCAAACGTGTAGTTTCAGTAGTTAACTACACAAAAATTGGCATTTAACTATGCACATATAAATGTAGCTGAACTACCAGCAAGCTACTGCAAAATGTAGTTAAACTACAAGGTTAATTACATGTAGTTCATTATTTCCAACACTGATTGTAACTTTAAGCATGGACAAGTGGAGGTGTGTTCTTTCATTTAGGCGACCGTGTGTGGGTATGAACGATGTTAATTCAAATGACTTATTGTTCATTTGAAATGAAGGTGGAAGGAAATGAACTCTGTGTGGTGCTTCTTTGAAAGTGTGTTCATGGAAACATTTACTCCAAAAATGCCAGAACTGGTTTATTCTAAACCTGGAGTGTTTGCTACTCTGCTTCAGTGCTATTCATATAGCTGCAGGCGCTGGAGATAATGACAACCCTAAATGCAAGGGTTAATGAGTATAAGGCATTTGGGTTAATTGGGATCTGAGATTCAGCACTTGTGAATGATTAACAAACCTAGCATAGCAAGATGAAAGAAGAGATCAGTCACACTCTGTTCAAACCTTTTCTTCATGTTTTTTGTTGATATGTTCATAAGAGAGTGAGTTAGAGGGAAGAGTGCTGATGAATACATTTGCTTAGTTAGAGTTTTCTATTGCTTTTCTACAGAAAATGTCCACCTTTAGGTAAAGTGGGTAAAAATGCTCATTGGTGTTTACATCAAATAATAAGATACCAAATTATTCTTTTACATTAGAACATCAGTGAGAGAGGCCTCCCTTAGGCAACAAGATGAGTAATAACAGGTAACTCTCAACACCTGTATATGTGCCTGTATAATCCGAGTGGTGAATACTATGGGTTTTAAATTACATGTATTAACCTGGGAAGATGACACGCTCCACCCTGGGATCAGCCTCGAGAAACTTGGCAGCGGCCATTGCATTCTTGAAGTGCCGTTCCATCCGCAGGTGTAGCGTCTTCAGTCCACGGTTACACAGGAAGCAGTCGAAGGGAGATGGTACACCACCCAGTGCTGAATCACGGCAAGGGTGCATGTAAGAAAAAGAGGTTAAGAACAAAGCCTCCCAAAACCAAATCAGATCAGGCAAACAACAAAGGCATAAACACACACTTCTTACTGAAAAGGTTTTAAATTGGTTCAGAACTTTGACCTCAGGAGCATGTTTTGCTTGTTTAATGAGTGAATGTGGGTCATGTTGGAAAAACCAGTCCACCAAAAACTGAGTGTGGCAGAGCTAAGACTCAACAACTGTTCCCTTTCTGAGATCTACTGTATGTCCATAAATTACACATATGTCTGATAAAACGGCCAGCAAATATTCGGCTTCTTGCTTGATAAATAACTTAAACCATTAATCAACTATCAAGACATTTGGTAATTAATCCTCTGTCAGCTGACGAATCATTTCACTGATGTAACCTGACAAATGGCATTTTGCCAAAACGTGTTGCGTACCTAACGGACGCATATTTTTACTACGCAGACTGCAAGAGTAGTTGAATTTGTTGTTTTTCTACTCACCATTTTGCAGAAACTTCATTCGCTCATGCAGATCGTCCCGGTTCATTGAAACCAGACCCATTACCACATCACTGTGACCTGCAAAATAATGTCAGGAATAAAAGAAAGGTGGGTATTAGGGGAAGTCAACACTACTATTGTGCTACATTTCGAAGAACAGCTAAAATGCATTATAATCAGGTGCATGTTTTTGCATCGCCTTGACTCTCCAAAATTACTATTTATCCTTGTTTGATAAAACTAGTGGGGGTGATCAAGCCCAATCTTTTAATTTCTTTTCAATTGTGTCTTTGTAAATCTACTGACTTTTTGGGTTAGATTGTGATATCAAATTGTAATGAAAATATTATGTCAGTAAAGAATGTATATAACTTACCGTTCATGTATTTGGTGGCTGAGTACATGCAAATATCAGCTCCCAAAGCCAAGGGGCGCTACAGGTTCACAAGATAAACACCTGAGTTAATCATTAAGCAATTTGTGTCCACCTGAAGTGGAATTTGATTGCAGGAAATGATTAGACAGCTGCTTCAAAATCAAAAGAGCATGAAGTGCACATCTGGCAATCTCACCTGGAAATAGGCAGACATGAAGGTGTTGTCCACGACCACCACTATGTCCTTGTTATGCTCGTGGACCAAATCAGAACAGGCTTTGATGTCAACAACTTTCATCGTGGGGTTGGTGGGCGTCTCAATCCACACCAGCTACAAGCAAGCAAAGAGAGGGTGTCATTTCTCTGTAGTTACATGTTCAGGAGGGTGACTGCAGTGGGAAAAGCTTAGAGACAGCTCAGCTCAGCTCAGCTGCTGGTGCATTTACCATGAACACAAATAACAGTCATCACACAAAGTGCTGACTCACAATGACCAGTACAAGTTTGCCCAAAGAGAAAAGACACACCCAGTGATGCAACATACTAGTAAAACTGGACTTGAAGGAGCAACTTTAAAGACTAATGAAATACATTTATAAAATATGTTGGAAGGGACCAAACTACAAAAACAACAGCTGTAGACAAACAACACTTCTTTGACTTACTTTAGTGTTGGCCTTCAGTGCAGCCTTAAGCAGCTCTGGTTTTGTGCAGTCAGCAAAAGACACCTCCAGACCAACTTGAGAAGCAATTCTTTGGAAGTAGCGATTTGTGCCTTGCAATTGAGAAAGAGCAACTCGGTCAACACTTCCAAAAATAACCCCACTTACGGTTAAAACCAACTCATAGCATGGTTTCATTTTGAGACCAACCAACATTTTGTAAAAGTGAGTGTGGTATAATGAAAATGGTGACCCACTAATGGTGTAAGGAAACAACTCATAGCTGCAAGGTTTTGTTCTACACAAATGCCTCACCTCCGTACACGTCATCCATGCAGACGATCCCATCACCTGCTTTGAGCATGTGGGTGATGGTCACTGTGGCCGCCAGCCCCGAGGCAAGAGCAAGACCTGTGCGGGGGGAATCAGTTTTTATGCTCAGATGTTGTTAAATATTTCCTGTCTGTGGAATATACCATGGACAGTCTCACTTACAGTACTTTGCTCCATCCAGAGCTGCCACAGCCTTCTCAAGACAGTTTCTTGTAGGATTTCCACTCCGACTGTATTCAAACCCCTACATAAAAAAACAAAAACATTAGAACATTTCAGTCACCAAAAACATTTATAATTATACAGTGTATTAAAACAACAAGAAGTAGCAGTCTTTTCATAGATGGGTTGCCCAAATGCAAGTGTGTATCAATCAATTTTAGGTTCAGAGTAACTAAAATGACTTAATGCATCATGACTTCTTTATCACTGTTAAAAACCAGAGCTGCGTAGCAGGCAGCAGGGTTTAAAAACATCACATCCTCACCTGTATTGGCTTGCCACAACCACAAAAATATGTGTGCATACTGTAACAACTTACCTCACTCAGTAATTACCTCTTCACTGGTGAATAAACTGAGTTGTTATGTGTGCGTGTTGATAAGAGAAAACTAAAAGAAGTTCTTCTGGTTTAATGACTGTAGCAAATATATCTCAAAATAAGAATTTGTGTTGACTACAAGGATGTATATACATTTTTTTGCAGTAAACATGAGAAACATATAGAGGAAGATTCATAGTTTAAACAAAATGGAAGACTTCTAAAGGATGTTCAGTACTGGGCTTGTTACATTTTTGCAGGAAAAAGGGAGAGGGCTCCTCTGTTCCAAACTATCCCACACACATTATCAGTAAAACAAGACGTGTTTGGACAAATGACACAAAGACTGGAGGCTGTGGCCGATGGCAATAAATGGAGCTTGAATGGCCTTGAACACAGGGTTTTTGTAGTGTGTCTCCCAGTGAACAAAGCCACCTGTAAACATGTAGTTGTAAAGCATATAGCAGATAATCTTAATGTTACTGTTGTAGTTTGACAAGTTAACTTTTGTATTGAACATCTGAACAAAAAGCTGCACTTGTTCTGAAAGATAAAACAGGCACTCCAAACTTTCTACTCCATGTGAGTCACTATGACCTCAGTCAGATTTTTTTACTGTGGGAGTAGTGGGCCGAGCATACCAGGGTCTGCAAAACAAGGTGAAGAGGTCATGAGATCAGCGTAAGCGGTGGGTTGGGGTATTTGTTTTAATTTTGTAATTTAATCTAGGATGCGGTTTCAGTTATTAATGCTGTACATATGCTGTGAGATTGGTCTTAAAACTGGGAAATGCCACAGGCAATTAATTGCCTTCCTAAATGGATTGTGCCTTTGTGCGAAAATTGACATGAAACCCTAAATGACCTCTGTTGCCATCTCATGTTATGAGTTGTCCTTATGCCAGTGCAGTTACAATGGCACTACCAGACTTGTAATCTGTAACCTACAGTATAATCATTGACAGAGACAAATGGCAGGTGGACAAGTTATCCTTGCCTGCAGCAAAGATGCCCACTGTACTATCTGAACTGCAGAGAGGATATGATAGTGAGGTGGAAAAAATGGATATTTATCCCACACAGGCTGGATTCCCAGACACGGCCTCAGGGTCATTTCCATGCCAAGAGAAAAAAAAAGTTCAGCTATCACTCCCGAAATATATTAACCTGTGATAGGCGTAGTTAACGATTACTCATCATAATTACTCTCTCACCACTCATGTGGGGGTGATTTAACAGGTAATTTAACTTGTAATAGATGTGTTTGACACATGTACTCAGTGACCAACACAGGGTGGATAAAAAGGATTCTTTGTTTATTACATACCTGTAAATGTATAAATACACTCCATTATTTCACACACTTGTGTGCATATTTATATATTCTTTTCTTAGTTATACCCAATACTAATCTATGCAATTAAAATACAGGTCATTGCTCTACTGATAGTACAGTATAGACTTAGCCTGCCCTAAATGTATAGAATATCACCAGGGTCTATACCAGTACACCAGGGTCTTGTCAGTGGATCTACTTTTGGTGGCCATGGAAATACCAGTTATTAAAGTTAGCTCTAAAGGGGACATATAGGTTTTTGAAATTGGAGCAAGCATTTCAGTGTGTGCACAAGACTAGAGTTTACTATTCTTTTTACCTCTTTCTGTGTCCATGTATTACAAGTAAATATAATCAAGTACTGTACTTAACCACAATTTTGAGGGTCTTGTCTTTACTTAAGTATTTCCATTTTATGCAACTTTATACGTAAGTAAATGTACCTTTTACCTCACTACATTTGTCTGACAGTTGCTACTAGTGCTACTACTACTACCACTACTTTTCAAATTACGATTGTACATTTAAAAAATATAAGGTTTTTAAAGACAACACAAAACTCTTTACAAGAGAGCAGTGTACACCCCGTCCTCATGTTGCAGATGTCTAGAGTTTGTCACTGTTTCCACTAGAGACATTTCCCCTCTTAACTTCTCACGCGATTTCACTTCCACAGCTTAAGGCTCACAGAGGTGACACTAGCTACTATTTCACGAATCTTTGATAAAAAAAAGGATACTGATTTGTGTAGCAGAGCTTTGTTTTTTCTTCCATTTCACATTGATTATCTCACAACCGCTTAGATTCATTTATCTTATAACTTTTTATAGTTAGCCCCCTATGTTTGCTAAAGTACTAAAGTGTAAATAAAGTAGTTGAAACCTGGAGCGGTTATAACATTATGCTACTTAGGTACTGATGTATTAATATTAATGATCTAATGTAATATATGTTAGTTAATCAGTCACATGGGCCAAGCACTTATTACGTACTTATTTTAATTACTTACTTTTTACTTAATTACTTAATATTAAAATGTGCTGATGTTTACTTAAGTGCAGGACTTTTACTTGTAATCCAGGATTTTGAATGGTTGTATTGCTATTTCCACCATTGTCTATCCACCTACCAATCCGTACAGCTGGTAAGCATAAGACTGATCCAGACAGTATTGATTGGTTTGATTATTGATTAAGCGAAAAGACGTAATTCATACGTATCGATGGGGGCTTATCTTTAGCTTTACCGACTAGGTTATTCAATTATTTTCAAACAAAATGAAAAGACCGGAAACCCCCCTCCCTCTCTCTCCACGTTACATCTTAAATAACCAAGTCATATCGAGCTACTTACGGCGTGGTTTCCTGGTTCCTGCTGCTTGAACGTGGTAGAAAGGGAAATCGGCGGCACTACAGCCATCGATTTCCATTGCTCCGGCTCCTGACCAACATGAATAGCCTCTGTGGCGAACGATTTAAAAGCCGTGCGGAAACCGGCGAACACGTCGCTCTGTTCGTCTTGACTGTGCTTTGGATCCATGGCAAACGTGAACCGCAGTGAACCCGGGATGAGTATGCATTACCACTATATGGTAAAGGGAGAAACCATTTAACAGAGCCGTGCGCTGCGCTTGTCCCTCTCAACCAATCAACGCTCATCAACAAGAAGCGGCAGGCGCTGATTGGCGGTTCAGCAGGGGCGTAGAAGCCATGTGACGCAGCACGTTGTTTGCGCTCTTTGTGTGTGCGCTGGTTTGTGAGTGTATTGCGTGTGTGCTTATACTGATGCAACATTTCCTGCTGTTTGAGCAGGGGAGGGCTCACTTTTTAACTCTTCTGTCTCATTTTATTACAGATTTACTTCTCCAAATTAATCCCACTGAGTTTAACAGTCAGATTTCCATTAAAAACAGCCTTGTATAGTTTTAAAATACACCATTATTCCATGAAAGCCAAGCAGACATGAAATTTGTCTCTTTTTTTCTTTCTTTCAGACCAACAGTCAAAATTCCAGAATGTTGGGTTTTGCTATCATAGAAAACTGGGGCAAACAAATTGTCAAAAATGTTGCTAATTAATTTTCAATCAATTCAATCAACTAATAGCCTAATTTCAACTGTACAGTACTGGTTGGTTTCTAGGTGCAAATAATGAAACTTTCATGTATAGTGGAGGTCAGTAGGGGCCCAACAGCAATTTTTTTCCCCCAGGGCCCTCTAGGAGTTTAATCCAACCATGCACCAAATAAAATAATCCAGTTATTTCCCAACTACCAGCATAACAGTTGAATTTTACATTGAATTTTGTGCATTTTCTGTTCCTTGTGACACACACATCAGAGAAATGTAGCTGTTGTTTCCATCATTGGGCCATAGGGGGAGGAAGTGCTCTGTTATGACTCGGTGATAACACTGGAAGTCTTCTCTCACCCTGCCTAAACTTGGCGAGTTCAACTTGTCACATAGGTTTGATTGGTACGAGTGTCTGCAAACAACCTTTACAGCTATTTATAACAAAGAAAAGCAGCACATCCTCTCTTTTAAGAAGCTATAACTAGAGATTGTTTGGCATTTTTTTCTATTTTTGCTTAAAAATTAAGAGATTATCAAAATAGATGTTGATTATTTCTCTGTTGATAAACTAACCGATAAATCAACTGATCATTTCAGCTTTAAATAAAATACAGTCTGAGAATAGACAAGTAAAAACAAGGACTGTGCTCTTACTACTGTACTTGCTGTAATTTCATGTACTAAAAAGCTATGAAATATAATATATAAACTACATTCTTCATGCATGTTTGCATTTTATTCACCAAATATTGTCTGTCTTATTCTCTTTCTTTATATTGTAAGAATACTATTATCAGACAGTAGCCTATGTCTAGTGCGTTATACAACATCTATTACATGTCTATAGTTTTAGTCATCCACACTGAACAGATACCTACAGACAAAATGGAAGCAAACAACTGTGTTAGAAAAGTGAACAAATACATGGTATTATGATAATTGTGATAAATGCTATATATTTCAAATTTTAATGTCCAATTGAGCACCCTTCTCCAGTTATAAGAAAAACTCATAATGGTTTGGTTTTTACAGACATCTTGTTTAATTTTGCATGTTAATGTCTTGGTTTTTTCTTTTGATGAAAAAGAAAAACTATAATAGGCATTGCTCCATGTGGCAAGGAGATGTTTTAATACATATATTTTTAAGGAGAACAAAATCATAAAGAGATTAAAAACTGAAATGTTTATTTATCTTGTCTGACAATACCCTGAAGTCAACTAGAGGATTGGAAATAATTATCCATCTGTGCATATGGGGTGTCATCTTTGATATATTGTTACAATCAAACTTTAAATTGAACTCTTATTCTTCTTTTCCATATTTTCCTTGGCATTGGCATTGGCCCATTGTATGTGCTGCTCTTAAAAGTGAATGTCTCACAGAATCAACATTCATATCAGTAGGATACTGCTAATGATTTCAAATAAAGAAGAGTTTAAGATTGGTAGTTGTAGTAGACATAATGGTAGAAGTACAGTACCATAAACTATACAGCATACTATTTACAGTGGTGGAAAATAATTAAGTACATTTACTCATTTACTGTACTTAATTGCAGTTTTGAAGAACTTGATACTTGAGTATTTTCCTATATTTTGATATTTTAGACTACCACATTTCAGAGGGAAATGTTGTACTTTTTACAGCACCACATATCTGTCAACTAAAATTCACATTTTCTACTTTAAGCACCTTCTGCTGATAGCCTGTGTACTTTTATATAACTTATAGTTTTAAGACTTTTGCTGGTTATAGAGTATTTTCTTGCTTGATATTGGTACTTCAGTCCAGTGAAGGATCAAAATACTAACCCTAATTTTAATGAACTCATTAAATATAATGCATTGTTAGAGATTTATAGCTACAACATACAACCACAACAGTCAAATACTTGCACATTAATGCTTTAGTGTTTACAAGTTAATAATTTAGTATATGCTTTAATAAAATACTCACAGCACAGGGCCTTTTTTTCCATGAGGAGCATTTACTTTTGATACTTTAAGTATATTTTACTGATAGAGGTGAGGGCAGTGTCCAGATCCTTTATGTAAAGAAATATTTTGAAGAAGCATTTAGTGTCATACAATGATTTATAAAATGAATGTAAACTCATGACCAGAACACTAAGTATGCTTCTGTATCTATGAAATAGATTTTGTTGCTTAAAAAGTATAATATTTACCCCTGAAATGTAGGAGAAAATAAGTATAAAAATAGAATGAAAATAGGGCCTACTCAAATAAAGTCTAAGTACCTAGTAATTATAAATGGTACTGATACAAAGTCTTGTTTTACGTATTGATACTAGTGTCAGTAGAATCTTTTTTTTTTTTCTGGGCACATGAACACACACTGTTGTGTGCATGTGTAGAGTGAATCATTAAAAATTTTGTCTTGTGTGTTAGCAGTTATTTGATTAAGTAATTGTCAGAGTATATAGTCAGAATATAATAGTTTGTATAATATATCATATTATATTAGACTAGAGTGTAGTAATAAATAATAGTTTCCTTTGTTTATCAAATTATTTGCTGTTAATCAAACTATATTTTGCATATATATTAATATATTAATAATGCATTCACCTCATGCATCATGACATTTCTCTCCCTGACGTTATAGTACAAATGCTGCTCTTAATATTAAAAGTATTGATATCTGTATTGATATTGGTGATCCCTGCCCACGCTATAGAGCAGATCCCAATGCTCGGGAGCAGGCGGACATACTGGGTTGAGCTAAGAGAAAAACAGACTTTACTTTCTACTACTGAGTCCCTTGGGATGTAACGTTGACCCACCCACCTACCCACCCAGAGAAGAAGCGTTATCAGCTAGTGCCCGTTAGTAACCTCCCCCGAACCCTCGCGATACTACGAGGCGGAAGACATCCGCCGAATCTTCCGTACTAGTCAACTACGTTGTGCAGCAACCAGCGACAGTTTTGAGAGGCAGGAGGAGAGCGGACTGTTTGTTTTCATTATCAGCCGGTGCTAAGTGGGAGCTGCTGCCTGTTCGTTTTTGTTTCTGCCTATCCAGTGTTAGAATTAAGTGTTTTCATGTTGTGCAATTTTCGGTGTTTGTGTGAAGAATTCCAACTGGCGAATCGCATCAGTTGGCCCGGAGGGTCATCGTCCGCGACGACACCCTCTGCTCCGTTAGCGCCAACTGTTTAGAAAATGACCGGAGAGAAGATCCGCTCCCTGCGCAAGGACCACAGGCCGAGCAAGGACGAGGATTTACTGGAGCCGGACGAGGAGGCTGCGACTGGGACCTTCACCGCCTCCAAGTCGAACAACAAGAGCAGAGCGAGTAAAATCTTCAGCAATCACAAGTTAGTCAAGTCGTCGTCCACACAACAGCAGCAACAGCAGAACCAGCAGTCGCAGATTAATGCTAACACCAACACACTGTCAACATCGGATGTTATCGATGACAACAACAAGAACCCCATTATCCGAACCGGACAGGACTTTCCGGTGCACGAATGTGTGTTTAAAGGAGATGTCCGACGCCTGTCTTCGCTCATACGGACGCAGAATATCGCCCAGAAGGACATCCACGGTGAGTACCAGCTGCTTATCACACTGGCCCCGAAGGCAGGAGCCAAAAAGCCTATCGCGAGCCATCAAATTTCAAGGTGCAGTGAAGCTCAGTTTTAGCTAATAGGCCATCATTCTCCATCAGCACTGAAAGTAGGCGAGGCTTTTCCCTGCCAAGGCCTGGATAGCTGAACTCAAGGATGAATAGTTTGACACCTCTACCTTGCAACTAAATCACACCCAGGTTCCTTAAGTCAACTTGATTGTTTGCATCAGAAGCCTCAGTGCATCTTCCCACCAATAGCAGTGAAATTCCTGCTTATCAGAACCAGGAATGCAACTAATGATTGTTTTTTATGATTGACTAACCTGTCTGTAATTTTCTCAATTAATCTATTAATTGTTTGGTCAATATTTATGTCATATTTTCTTAAGAAAAGACCCCCAAGAGTCATTAAAACAGTTGCTGATTATTTTCCTGTTGATCAATTAATCGACTAATCGTTGTTGCTGAAAGATAAGTCATCTTGTCATCAGTTGGACCAAAGCTTATAGTTGATGTATTAAGAGTTCCTTTGCAAAACTTTGGGAGTTCCTGGCTGATAGCGCTTCTTCAGGAGGGCAAAGTCTGCTCAGATAACACAACTATTTCCAGAGAAACCCTCCCATAAATGTTGAAACAGCAAGATGGTTTTGTTCTGGTTCACAGGCCAAGACAAAAAAATTGCCCATACTTGTGCTCATTGTCAGCATTGGAATCTGGTCTCTCTTCAAATGAAAGCTCTGACATGGTGTCATGCAACAAAGTTGTCAGACAATTGCCTCCGGTGTTGTTGTTCAACTTGAACCTGTATTTTTCAGCAGGTTTGACCGCCTTGTTGTGGATTGGTGTGGCTCAGTGGCAGCCGTTTATGCGTTTACTCACACATTAGTTCAGCTGTTATTGCATTCAAGCTGAAGTTAAACTGACACACAATGTTGCTGCAATTCAT